GGCTGGGAGGGCTCCGCCTCGCTCACCGTTCCCCTCACCCTCAGGAGAAAATGGCGCCGCCCCACGCAGGCCACCGGACGACCCCGGCGCAGCTCATATGATGTCTAAAGCGCGCGACTGGCCGTCGACCAATAAAAGGTCGTGTTACTGCTGAGTCAGGTAGGACGAGCACCGTTCCACCAATCAGGAGCGCTGATCTTCCGTTGCTAGGTGGCGGCGGAGCGAAGGAAGGCGCCGGGAGGTGCAGTTTCAGGTGGGGATCTGTGCGGCGTCGCCGTTGCCCTGAGCCCCCGCCAGGCCGTTTGGGGCGTGTGTGGGGGAGGCTTTGAGCGTGGCGGGGGTGCGGAGGAGCCGCCTGCCCGCGCTCGGGACCGCCACCGTGGCGGAGGCCTGACCCTGGCCTTAGCCCGGAGGCCTCCGGTCCGCGGCTCGGTCAGCCCCTACGGGCGTGACTGGAACTCGGTCACAAACCGGCACACAGGAAATTCCGTCTCAACATGAGGAAAATCTTTACTTTGAGGGTGGCAGAGCACTGGCACAGGCTGCCCAGAGAGGTTGTGGAGTTTCCTTCTCTGGAGACGTTCAAAACGCGCCTGGATTCGTTCCTGTCCAACCTGCTGTAGGTGCCCCTGCTCTGGCGGGGGGGTTGGACTAGATGATCTCCAAATGTCTCTTCCAACCCTGACCATTCTGTGATGGGAGGGCCCGACCGGGCAGAGACATGCACCAGCACGCGCAGTACCCTACGAGCCTTGGCAGTCGACGCGTTGGGCTTTCTGCTTGCAAAGGAAAGATTTGCATTTCATCATTATTAATTAAGTTGTGGTAATGAAGTTATTAATTCAGTTGTGACCAGCTTTAAAAATAGAGGGGTAATAGTGAGGATTAAACTACTTCTGCGTAAGGAAATCTTAGTGAATTACTGTATCCTGGGCCTTAGGATGAGACCCACGGTAAACGATAGAAGTGTTATGCTTTTTCTGCCAAATATCTTTTTTCCTACTTGGTAGTGTTTTGTGTACTTTGATAATTTGACTATTAAAAGTTAGGAGATGACAATGCAGTCTGGTGTGTTAATCTTTCAGGGGAACTGAAGATATGCAGCTGAGATGACTCTTCAGGAACTGGTGAATCAGGCAGCTAGCCTGTACTCTGATAGAAAAGCAGTTTGGTATGATGAATGCAACGACAAACCTCCAACTTTCTACACGTATGCGGCGGTGGTTAAGCTTGCCACGGAACTAACAGCTTTCCTTCAAAAGCACTGTGATCAGCAGGGAAAATGTGAAATAGGCCTTTACTGCTATCCAGGAATAAACTTACCATCTTGGATCTTGGGGTAATGGTTTGAATACGTGCAATCTGTGTTGGTTTTTTAAGGGTCATCTCTATAAAAGCAGAATTTCAGTTTTAATAACAAAAATGCTTTAATACCATAGTAATACAGTCAAGAGGCATTGAAGTCTTGCATTCTTTCAGAAAAAAGATGGCAGTATTACAATGTTTTGAAAAGCCATCGCTAAAGTTCTTTTGAATCTTAAGTTCATTGATCTAAACTGTATGGAACTATCCATTTTCTTAAAAGTGTATGATTAAAAATATTTATAGAAATTAAAAAAAGGAATTACTAGTATCTGTGTTGTGCTTGTTTAAAAATGGAGGTGATCTAACAGAATAAATGTATATATAAAAAAAGGAGTATGCAGGTTTTTTTAATGTATTCTTGTCTTGCTAGCGAAAAAAAAAGCACTGGAAACAAATATCATGCTTTAAGCCAATTGAGTATACAGTTGCAGTTCCATTACAAATACTGTAGAAAAAACATAATGAGCAATGCAGCACTAAAGGGACATTGATTATTTAATGGCTGGGGAATTGAAATATTTCTGATCTCAACACTCATGTTAATTCAGCATGTTTAAAAGTCCTACATCTGCTGATGAATTCTAATGTTTGTATTCTTTATGTATGTATCTTTTATATCCATTGCATTTATGATGTAGTATAGAATCGCAGAGACGCAAGCATATTTTTTCCAGCTGATGTATACAGCAGCAGTGGTGCTTCTTAGGGGAATCATCTGTCTTGGTGTTTTCCTGTTGTCACCCTGCACCTAAAATACACAACAGTGTAAGATGTATCACGGTTGACTATAAAGATCTTAGTGAAGTGAGCGAGTGCTGTAATCATAAACCTCCCAGAAGTGCTGAGGAACTTTCTCACTGATTAGGAAGCACTTTTCCCACAGTCCCCAATAGTGGAGCAAGTTGCCCAGAGATGTTGTGCAGGCACCATCCCTGCAGGTTTCCAAGACCTGATGGGATAAAGTCCCAAACAATGCCCTGCAAGGAAACACTGGTTGGTCTCTGTCATCCTGAGGTCCCTTCCAACTTGATTTAGCATATATCCCAATGACCTGAGCAGCAACACAGTTTTGTTTTGCTGTGTCACTGGAAACTACTGGAGTGTTTTGATTCTTACAGTTATTGTTGCTGAGTAATTAACTACTATATATGATGCAGCGCAGGCTTAGGTGCTTACTGATTCCAGCGGCTGTTGAAGTGTGCAGAATGCTACCGTTTTCAAGTCTGGGTCTCGTCATTACTGTGGTGATAAATCATTTGCACAAAGAGGAAATATAACTAATTGTACGTGAGAACCAGCCTTAGAAGAAATGTGAAGATTTAGGGGAACCATTCATATTTTATTCGCCACTTACTCATCTTGGCTTTTGTGGTGTTAAATTCGAGTGCTTGTCTTTATCAAATGGAGCCGCTAGAGGGGGGGATTGTAGTGAACAACTGTTGAGGAAGCGCTACAATGAAAAGCGCAGTGAATGAGCAGAACTTCTTGTTCCTCTGCTTGTTTATTAAAGAAGAAATTCCAGTACATGCTCAGATTTTCTTATGCTGGGTTCTTTAGACCAATGAGAAAAGAAAGTGTTTTTAGTATGCAGACTTTCAGTGTTTTGTTAAAATATGTTTATACGTGTTGTATATGTATAAATGACAAGCTTTTATTTCTGTTCCTAGTCAATAGCAGAAGCTTTTAAAACATGGTGCTGTTGATGTCAGCGGTACCTTCGTCATCACCAACCTGCTTGGCCAGGAAGAATTTTCAATATTTTCATCTAGCTTTAATCTTTCTCCTTGCTGTAAAATACCAAAAGGCAACACTGACTATGATTTGGTTCCTGTTTTATTTCTAACAAAATCTTTAAAAGTCATGTTATGACTACATTTTCTGGCTCTGGGAGCTAATTGCTGTATAAAAGAAACATTAGTGACATTCAAGAGGATTTTCTTAATTTTTTTTCAATACATTTAAAACGTTTTTCTCTTGCTAGAATCCTTCAAGTTCCAGCTGCCTACTCGCCTATCGATCCAGATGCACCGCCAATGTTATCTGCTTACTTCATGAAGAAAAGCAATCTTCAATATATTCTTGTTGAGAATGATAAAATAAATGTAAGTGTTCAGGCTTCTACAGGAAGCATTAAGATACAATTTATAAATGTGTAACTATTCAGGTTGTATTCTGTTTTAATAAGCTTGGGTGGGGTTGTTTTGTTTCTTCATGTCAGAAGGTTGTTTTTCTCATTCAGAAAAGAACATCTTCAAAATTAGAAGTACAAAGTGCTTCTCCCCTCGTTTTTTTTTTTTTAAAAAAAGCTGACTTTCCTATGACAGTGCTGTCCAGGCAAGCTCCATATGTCAGGGTTGAGAGTTGGAAATCTTTGCAAACCTTGAAAATAACTCCTGCATTTAATTCTTTGGTTTCCCTTTGTCCAGCTCCTTCCAAATCTTGTGGGAATAGTCAAGACTGGACCGTCCAGTTATAATTCAGAGTTCTTTGTCTTCTGCAGAATTCTTTTGTATGTTTTCCCTTCCTTTTCATTATTTGCTCAGAGAATTGTTTATATCTCGTTTATAAAGTCTGTGTTCACTCATACTTAACATATGAAAAAATACATGAGCTTAAAACTGTCCTCCAAAAGTAGAGGGATGAAAAATCACAGCTTATTTGTATGAAAGGCTGCTTCATATTTCGTTGCGTACCGTAGAACAATAACAGTGTGTCCTGAGTTCTGCTGTTTAAATTGTTTATTTTCTCTTACAGAAATTCCAGATGTCCCATGTTGGTTGGTTTTACCACAGTTCTTCCACAATAGAACATATTGGTTTAACTCTCTTCCAAGTGAGCTTGAGCAATGCTGATTTAAATTCACAAGTAGATGATGTGAAAAGTAAATATGAACCTTTCAAAGCTGTGGGTATCTCGCAGCCGGGATATACTGTTTGCCCAGATCAAACCAAAGTGAAAACATCAGAAGGAAGATACATGGATGTTGGCCAGAAATACTCTTTAGCATACGTCTTGCATACATCAGGAACTACAGGGATCCCCAAAATAGTCAGAGTGCCTCATAAATGTATAGTGCCAAATATTCAGCATCTTAAGTGAGTGTGGTTTCCAGTTTTCCTTTTAAATGCTTTTACAAATTTGTCATTTAGGGACTCTCTCTCTCTTTTTTTTTTTTTAATACTTAAGAGGAGTGTAGATTGGGTTTTTGCTAACACTGGTTCACTTCTTCCTCCTTCCCTGCCTTTTCAGATTTTGTTGTGTTTGTTTCTATTGTTTCTAAATAGTATCATATAAAATTTTGTTTCTCTAAATGTTATTTTTAAAGTTTAAATCATGCTTTATCTGAATTTTTTGAGACGTGTACTTCAAATAATTTGCTGTTGCTGTTAAGTATTGTATTCTGGCTTGTGGCTTAGAAGAAATAGATAACAAAGTTAATTATTCATTCACGGTTATATTTAGTTTGTTCTGTAGTTTTTACGTCCTAATTCCTTTTTGGCTAACTGGGTTTCTTTCTGTTTCATTTAATACTTTCTAAAAAAACCCTATTATGAAAAATACCACCTCTTCTTCTCTCTTCTCTTCTTCTTTTTTTTTCTTCTTCTCTCTTCACTCTTTTTTTTTTTACTCTTTCTATTCCCCTATTAGTTGAAGTATGCCCTTCAGTATGCTGTACTGCAGGGTAACATGGTGGATATTTTTTTAAAGGACCTCATTAGTTCAATGAATAGTTGCAGTCTTGATGGAGAAGCTCTTGCTCAAATTGTCTGGCCTGTATATGCCTATATATTCAGAGCAGCTCTTAGGTCCTTAGCTTTGCTGAAACACATTTCATGCTGCTCTTACAGTTTGGGGTTTTTTTGTTTTTATCAACAAGCATCAGATTTGTAATTCCTAGCTTTCTTATTTTAGAACCATATTTGAGATCACAGAGGATGATGTGGTATTCCTGGCTTCTCCTCTAACATTTGACCCATCTGTGGTTGAATTGTTCATTGCTCTGACAAGTGGAGCCTCTATCCTTGTAGTACCGAACGCTATTAAAATGATGCCTGCGGAGCTGTCTGCTGCTCTGTTTCACCATCACCATGTGACAGTGTTGCAGGTAGGCAACACCTAAGATAAGGGTCTTCAGTGTCTTGCTTCTCACCTTTGCTAATGTGCACTACTTTTTCGTCAGTCTAGATGCTAATGATAATGGAGCAGGAGCGCTCTTCCTTGAAAGCATAGCTCATGCTGTCCTTTTTGCTGTAGAAAATTACCATTTGATCGAAGCCTCAAGCCTCGAAGCCCACCCCCCCATCCCCCCACCCCCCGTTTTCTTTGTTATAATTCACTGGTTAAAACAATCAGTTGAAAAGTGATGGTCTTAACCTGTTACTAGAAGAAAGTAACCAGGTAAGAAGTAATTCCGTACATTTTCCATTAGTCTTACTAGAAAAAGTAGTCAAGAATGAGAGTTAAGTGTATCTGTTGAAATTATTTGCTGTTTTTCCCTTCAGTGAAAGGATTCTACATCACCAATAGTTTTATAGAAGTAATTATATTTAAGGAAGCTGTCTTGTTTCTTTTTTTTCTTTTTTTTCTTTTTTTGTCTTTTCTTTTACCCCAGTTCATTTTAGAGTGGGATGTGAAAGCTTTCAGAAAACTAATCTTTGTAAACTGTTATATTTGCACAAATCGGGAACAACCCAGAATCTGTCATCATAGGAGTTTTTAGTGTTATGTAAAGGTCTTTAAATGTTCCATATGCAAGTTAATCAGATGTATAGGTTATAGTTTAGCTGTAACATGCTGGAATGAAGGGTAAAAAGCTCAGACAGTAACATCGAGAGAACACTGTCCTTGCTGCTTTCTGTTTCAAAGTAATTAACGTAAGGACTAATGTGCACACACTTTAGGTAATAGGAGACACAACAGGGAACCCATAACACATCTAAGTGAAGAAGAAACTCAGCAGAATATAGATAGGTGCTGATAATACTCATTAAGGCTTCACATAAGAGACAAAATCTCACAAAACACCACAATGATCTATATTTGTATCTGATGGTTGATGCCATCTACTATACATAGATTGTTAAGTACATCCAAAGTATATCCACAATATAGCTATGCAGTGGATATGATAAAGCAGGAAGAGGTTTATGCATGTTTGGTTTTATTTTTAATGTATATCATACAGGCAACACCAACACTTCTCAGAAGGTTTGGAGCTCACATTATTAAATCAACAGTGTTGTCTGCAAATACTTCGCTTCGCGTCTTAGCCCTCGGTGGTGAAGCATTTCCCGCACTGAAGCTCTTGAAAAGTTGGAAGCACAAGGAGAACAAAACAATTATTTTTAATCTGTATGGTATTACTGAAGTGTCAAGCTGGGCCACTTGCTACAAGATTCCTGAAGAGGTTTTTGGCGCTGATTTTAGGTAAGAGAATTCCCTGTTTTCGTGGCATGGCGTGTAAATGATGAAAATCACTAGAAATAGAACCTTGGTCTCTTGTTTCCAGGGCTACTGAGTCCTCATGAGTGTTTATGCTGGTACAAGTTACATTTGATTTTTATGTAGAAAGAAACTAATCCATTCTCTCTAATACAGCCCCCGTCAAGTAAAAGCTGTTGATGAGTGATTCTTGAACAACAGAATTGCAGGCTGAAATTCTGTGTACTTGTAGACCTGTTGTTTCACATAATGTGTTGTGATGGCCACTGTTTTAGTCATGTCTGTATCTAGACCTCTTCCTCATTCCAGCCTGTGATTCTATATGCTGAATCTGGACCAACCTAGTCGAGGTGTGCTGTCTGCCTACGTGGCACTATTGAATGTGTCACACTTCTGCAGGCAAATGGCTCCTACCCAATTTGCTAGTAAATTCAGTTAGCCATAGTATTGCTCATCATGAGGCTTTTCCAGTGAGATCTTGCATGTTCACAGGGAAGAAAGCTAACACAGCTGTCAGTGAGAGTAAAGAAATGGAGCCCTGTAACTCTCAATCATAGCCTCAGAACAAAGATATACTCATAGCTTAGCTCTATCAAGTTTAGAATGTTAATTCTGAGATTTACTTCTTTTAACCAAAAATACTCAAAGATTACTTTCAAATGTAAAGTAGATATATGTGTATTTCTTACTGCTACTGTGCTGTTCCCTAGAGTTTTTAAAACTCGACAAGGAATTGTGTGAGTGGAGTCTAGGTAGTGGGTTTTTTCTGCTCTTGCATAATATACTATTCAGCAAGTGATCCCACTGATATTACTCGACTGGTATGGATGACAGAAATTTGTCCAAAGTGGCTCACCCAAGGTCTCACAGTAATTTTACTTGTAGTTCCAGAGGTTCTTTCTTTTCATCATTTAGAACTCTGCCACTTTCACTTAGTTACTGACTGTTTTTTTGTTCATTGTAGTTTATAAAGAGAGTTGCAGGAGTGTAAAGGTCATGAAAGGTACTTCCAGTTAGTTCAGTGTTTCATTTGCTCTTTGAAATGTGTGATTATTCCCTGACATGATAATTATACATTTGACTTGAGTTAGACATGTCCTGTGAAATGCGATGTTTTGGACAAATGATGCAATATATTAACCTGGTACTCTTGAAGAATGAACATGGTGGATGGTCAGAAAGTATTACTCAGTTCTTATGCAAAACTCATCTTCATTCTGGTTTCTCTGAGTTCAAACATTACCTTGTCCTCGAGAAACTTTTTTTTTTCCCCAAAAGTTTCTGTGCTCCAGAGATAATGTGTTGTTCTTCAGTCCTAACTGATGTGCAGTTAGAATGATTGAATTTTTAATAGTTTCTGACTGTTGTCTCCCACCCTTCGCCTCAGATCCTGTTCCCTGTAAGCCTCATTGCAAAGGGAATTAGGGTTCCTTTGCAGAAAGCAGCCCCAGATACAGCAAAACCAGGTCAGACCCTTTTATGTCTTCTTCATTCTTAGTATTGGTAGGACACTTGGAGTATAGTGGGCTTTTATTTTTGCTAGCTGAATGATAAAAACTGGCAGAGTTGCTGTTCTGTGATACATAGGAATCTTGGGGTTTGTTTGGTGATGTTAAATGAGTATCTGGGATGCTTTCTCATACCTGTTTGTCAAGTAATTACATTTTGAAGCTGACCAGAGGAAGGAAAAGGAGGAGAAGATTCTTACTTGGCAGAAGTCTGTCTGCTTTTTGGTCAACTCGAGATAAAGAATTCATTGACTGATCAGAGAAAAGGAGAAGTTTCAACAGTCTAAATAACAGGGGTTGAACAAGAACTGTTAGATTAAAATGTGATATTTTATGATGGAAATGGAACTGGAACCCATGCCTAACTTCATAAATTACCAAAGTTATTTAAAGTTACTTCACTTTTAAAATTTTGCTTTACTGAAGAAAATACATTATTCTTTACTCCCACTGAGAGGCTAGAGAATGAAGGGAGAGGAAGGAGTTGCTCTGCAGCTCAACAGAAGACATCTGTAGTAGATACATGACACTGAAATTACAGTTTCTTTTATTTCAGTCTTTTCTGAGAGAGTCTACTGTACTTGTTGCTACAGCATCAGTAGTAAAATAGAATAAAAGCTCAAACTAGGTAGGACAGGGAAAGAAGGAATTGGAAAGCAGTTACATGTGTTTAAATTGGTTGACTTGATGGAAGTTTCAATGTGCAGGACTTAAAAACTGGCTGAAACTCTCAGTGTATTTCAGGGTCCACTCAAGCCTTATTTTCTATAATTCTGTGCTTTTTGCTATATAATAGTGAAACCCGTGCACACTGATGAGGTTTTTAATTTTGAACAAATTAAGATGTTTTTGTAAAAAACATTTGTAGAAAGAAGCCCCAAGCATCTACTTTTGCTCTAAAACTAATCCTTTAAAAGACTGTATACTAACTCATTTCTGGAACAGGTTTTTTGTGTTCAGAAGGTAAATAATTTTACTGTTTCTCTCTTTATTACATTTAGAACTGATTTCCCTATACCTTTGGGATCACCGCTCCTGGGAACAAAAGTTGAGGTCAGAGATACCAACGGTTTTGCAGTTCTAGAAGGCGAGGGACAAATATTTATAGGTTATTTTATATTTCTTATTCTTCTAAGATACTTTTCTTGATTGATTGAGTTTTAATAATACGTTGATTATTTTACTTGGCATCTGCCTCTGATGTACAAATTAATGCAGCATTTTAAGTTTCCATTGGGCTGGGAACCTTCTGATGGTATTTTAGGTTGTTGCAATGATGAACAGGAAATTACCGTAATTTTATCTGCAGACTGTGCTTTTGTTATATTGACTTTTTTTCCTGCTTGCATTTTGACATTCTCAGTTGAAGTACTTTCTGTGTATTAACAGAATTAACTGTGTAGCCCAGTTTGTACATTGCAGAAGTTTAGACATTGATAATCTTTTAGTACTTCTTACAATGCTTTTTAGAGTTTAGGAGAATTTGATAAAATACTCTTTCTAATTTTAATTTACAATTAGCCATGTAATATATGAGACGTGAATCTTTTCTTTTGTAGGTGGTGAAGAACGAATCTGCTTTCTTGATGATGAAATGACAGTACCCCTGGACACAATGAGAGAAACAGGGGATTTTGTAAGAGTGCAGAATGCAAAGTTGTTCTTCTTGGGTCGGAAGGACAATCAGATTAAACGTCACGGCAAACGTTTTAACATTGAATGTTTGCAGCAGGTAATACACCATCTAGTGAATAGAGTGTGTCAGTATAAAAGAGCAGGATAAGGAACACATCTTTATCATCAGAAATGGATATTTTCTAATCTTCAGATGACTTTTAGGAGTCTTAAAGAAATTGGGAGGGTGTATTATCAAAAACGTAGTCACATAATTTAGGGAGGAGTTTGGTTCTGAGTTCTTGGAAATCTGTTTCAATTTATGGTTTCTTCCAGCAGAATTGAGAACTGTATAAACACCTGAAAAATACTGCAATGCTTTTATAGTGATTGTTCTACAAGACTGAATGTCACACTCATGGATTATATCTCATTCGTGGCATTTAGGCAAATTATGCATATATGTCTGAGTTAATTTTTATGTGAAGAAGTACCAACTAGCTACAAGAGAATGTATTTCATAGGATGGTTTGTAGGAATGTGAAACAAATACAAATTTTAAATGTGTAGTTTTAAATTGTGGGTTTTACTCCTTTTAATCTATTGATGAACTGCATGTCAAAGCAAGACTAATGTTTTTTAATTACAGGCTGCTGAAGATCTGTGTCAGGTAGTAGGAAAAAATAATCCTGTTTGTTGTACCCAAAGATGATTTGGAAGAGGGAGAAACACTTAAAGAACTTCAGAAATGTCTACCAGCTCATGCAGTCCCTGATGAGCTTGTAGTGATTAAAGCTTTGCCTTTAACATCACATGGTAAATGAAACTATTAACTACCCTTGCCACTTATTTTAATGGTCTCTATTCCTTTTTTTCATAATTTACCAAAACCCAGTATTTGATGCATGCTTTTTAAATATGTAGGTTAGATAACTAACTCCTAGTAGGAAATGAGGACCGTGTATTATGTTTTCTTGATAGTGTTTCATTCAAGAGTCAGATCAATTTGGTAAAATCAATTTAGTGTTAACACTGCACATTTATTTCCTCCATCATTGCTGTTGCGGTCTGCAACAGAACCATGACTCCGGCTGTGGAAAGATGAGGTGGGAATTATGTGGGGAGGCTAGGGTAAATTTTCAAAAACCTTATTGGGTTCTGCTAAGTGTTGTTGATTGACTGGCTAAAAAAAATACACGTGCAGTTGAGTTTGAATGAGGAAGTGTGTACAAGAACAGAGTTACTGTTTGGGCAGAGCAAGTTTTGGAAGTGTCAATGCTAAAAAAGCAATGAAAAAAAAAATCATACTTTATTTTCTACAAAGGCAAAGTTGATATATCTGAACTGAACAAGATTTACCAGAACCATCTAAACTCCAGAAGGCGTGACAGTAAGCTGAGTGACGCAGAGGAATTGTGGGAAAGATTGCAGTATTTATGGAAGGTAGTATTTTGAGCTGCCTTTTTATCTTTGCAAGTGGATCATTATACATGTGTCAGGAATTAAACAGTTTTAAGAAGTATGACTAATGCAACCAGAACATTCTAGCTGCCTATAGATTTAAGCGGTACAGCTCTTTCTGTTCAGTTAATACTTAAATATAGTTGCTCTGCAGTGGCCAAGAGGGAGTCATTTATATTTCTCTATCAGATAAAACTGCAGGCTATGAGGTGTAAGCGGGTAGCATAGCAAGGACGTAACCTGACAGTAGCTTTTTGCATGCTGCTTCACATGCCAAAGAAGGTATCCCTAAGGGAAACAAGGAACTGGGACATGGAAACTTTGTACAAAATAGCTACTGTGTTAGTAGAGTTTCTTATTTCTCAAGATAATTATGAATTGAAGAGTCTTTTTTTAAATAGATGGCACAGTTGCATAATTATCTCTTGGACTGTCTGTATTGTTTCTAAATTTCTGTGCTAAAGACTTGTTTTTCAAGGTACTGAAATGTGATGCCAAACAGTATTACTTTTTTTTTTTCTCCAAAGATAGACTTCCAGGTTTCACCTGAAAGCGGGATTTGCTGTGGCTAGGACTTGAACAAGGATATATAGTAAAATTAGTAACATAATTTGCCTTTTGCTGATATTGGTGGCTCTAGAAATGATAACCCAAAGGGATGGGATGTGCTCTAGACTTGTTATGGACAGCGGAAGGTGGCTTCCAAAACAAGATTTGGACTTCACACCCAGACTTAACAAGCAGGGAGTACAGGGAGAGGAGACATAGTAATTGCTGTTTGTTATAGTAACAATGCCAAATCCAAAATCTGTCATGAATTGAAGGGTTTATAGCTTCAAAAGCAGGTAGATAAGTAGGTTACTTAAATAATTCAGAAGTAAAACATACCAGTTTATATAAGTTTTATTAATAAAACAAATTTTATCAAAAGGCATCAGTTTTATCTGCAAAGTTTTCATTGATAAATGGTATTGAGATTGAAAACGGCTAATAAAAATACAGATTTGCTTTAATTCCTTAGACTGCAGAATTTGAATTGAGCAAAACATTTTGTAGGACAGAACTAGTATGTATCTCCCTGTTCCCCTGTTCCTCCCAAACTCTTGTTCCATCACTACCTCTGTTGGTAGTGATAAATGTTTTATGTGATTTTTTTGCAGATTAGTGGGTTTCATCAGTTCTTGATTTTTAGTGGGACTTCTGGGTATTCAGGAAGATACTACCCAACTTGAGTTTTTGTGTGTGTGACGTGGTGTTAACGCTCATTGACTGTTACTTCTTTCCTTCTTTTCTCTAGTCTGTTCTGGGTCTTCTAGGTGATTCCACTGGAATTTCTAAAGATGCAGTATTTCTGTACAGTGGTGGAGATTCCTTAAAGGCTGTACGATTTTATGATGAAATTGAGATACTAGTAGGCAAAGCTGTGCCTGGACTCCTTGAAGTTATTCTCAGCCGCTCAATTGAAGAGGTTTATAGACATATTCTTAAAATTCTGTTTCCAGATGAAGACCAATTAATGAATTATGATAATGCTGTGAAAAGAAAATTAAGTGGGAACAGTGGAGAAGAACTCCATGGAAAATATATTAAACTGAAATCTGAAAGAGGTCTCAAGGTTGCTTCAGGGTTAATTTCATTTATTGTGCTAAGCAGAGGAAATCATGTTTTTTCTATGAATTTCACCGAGTCTTTTATGCAGCCCAGTAATACCGTACAGGCAGGAGTGGAACAGCTACAGCAACCATCCTTTCTGCATTTAGTGACTCCAAGTATAATGAAAAGCCATGCTCAAGGGTATGAAATGGAAAACAGAATTTTAACAATTACGAACAAGGCAAATAAAACTGACTGTTGCTCTGTACAGCAAATCCATGCAGAATGTAGTGATGTAACAACGTCACAGTTGGCATTACGCATAAGATGGAAGTCAAATACAAGAAAATGTGTTGATGCATCACCACTGGTTCTAATACCATCTGATGAAGAAGTGTCTGCATGTGTATATGTTGGTTCTCACTCTCATGCAATGCAGGCGATTGATCTAGATTCAGGAGGAATAAAATGGGAGAAGAACCTTGGAGATCGTATTGAATCTTCTGCCTGCATATCTAAGTGTGGAAATTTCATTGTTGTTGGTACGTCTTTTGTTTCAGGTTTCATTTTAAATTCTTTTTTTTCTGCTAACTACAAGGGGAATGACAGAGAATCTTATTTCTTACCTCTGAATGCCCTCCATCTACACTTACCCGGAAACTTCCATATCTGCTTCAAAACTAATTATTGTAATACAGAAACAGAAGGAAGAACTAATTTAAGTTTCATGAGAACCAGTGATGGAGCTTATGTAACATATACACTTGTTGTTTATTATATGCCAAATTATTAATAACGCCTTATTAAGGAATAGTCAATGGGTATGGTTTCTTTTTAGTGGTTGATTAAGTTGTGACCTTTAAACTATTTTAAAAGTATGGAAAGGTGATACAGCCCTAAAATGTCCTTAAAATTTGATAGAGGTAGAAATTATTACTTGGTGCCTCAGACTGTTTTTCACAGCGTTTAAATATCTCCTTTGACTCTTCTTTTTGGAAATGTAAAGGACGTATTTGGATAGTTTTTTGATTTTGTCATATCCATTGTCAATGGAGTTGCCATTATTCATCTTAGTGTTATCTTTTTAGCTAATACATGTATATCACTGGTTAGCACTGATGTCCAGGTGGTGAGGGTTTTTTATGCAAAGCTAATGTTACCATCTTTTTGTTAGTATTTTGATTACTGTTTACTCTGATAACAAAATGGAATGTTTCATTAAAACTGAAGGACCTTCTAGAACTACAGTTCAGTTTTCATTAGAAAATGTACAGACTTTATTCTTTCAGCA